GAAACGCACAGCTCATCATCAACATTCTAGTACGGTCCGTCCGATTTACAAATGGATAGACATCGAGGTTACTCATTCATTGGCTGCGTTGACAGAAACACCAAAACCCGGCTTTATAGCTTGTTTCACCCGGACAGCGTGATCGTACAAGCACCACAATACCAGCAATGGCAAGGCGAATATACAATCCCGTAGTGTGCTGCTGTGCACAGGAAACACACATCAAACTCAGGACTGGATGAAGAAGACGCGCTACTAGAGAATCGAGTGCGCTCAGATTGGGTCTATTGCTGTGACCAACCACAGACTCCTCTTCCCACTAAGAAACATTCCGCTCAATAATATGGTGATGAGCCAGCTTTGTACACCACTCGATCTCCAAGACTTGGATATGCTGGGATGACGACGAGGATCTACCGTAAGTAACACTTGATATGGCGGGGGCTCGCACTAGACCGTAACTCCGTGCTCATGAACTTGCCTAGCCACTCGCCGCTTTCCATGGTGAATGTTACCAACCAAGCACGACATCTCGCAAAGTAAAGAGGATGGAGAGGACGGGTATATATTCCGTGTAGCAAACCCCGAACACACATCTACCTAGGTAGCTAACCAACCTGGATCACCGAGACCAACACAGCGTCAAACACACCATTGCTCCCGAACCAAAACTCGGGTCAAAGCCAAACCACAGATATCCCACAGGAGACACCGAAAGAAGGTCTGGCGCTCGTTTCTGTTTGACGACAGATAGACATACGTCAAGACATACATCCTTGAATATATGAATCGGACCTGGGCCATTGCTTCAGCACTACTTCCTCATTCACCAAGGATTTCATACATACCTAGCGAGCCGAACCGACAGACACACACCGATATCCGAAACAGGAAGCGCTCAACAGAAGAGAGTAGGGCACCACTTGAAGATCTACGAAGAGCGTACAAGTGCTACGGAGAATAGATTGAGATGTGTTAGTCGTACAGTACGGTCTCAGTGCGGTTGGTTGGTTATGTTGGTTGGCTGGTCAGTAGATGGAAGGAGTGATGTTGCACATTAGAAGTTAACCACCTAATGAGTGGGTGAGTGAATGAGTGAGTGAGTGAACACTGGAGCGGGTAAGTGACCAATACCTAAACACGGGTCCTGATTTCAGTAGGGGTCAGTATAGCAACTGGAAGTGAAGCGAGCGAGTGGCGCGCCCGTCTTCTAAGATGTCTAGGGCGGGTCACTACATTTTGCTTACACCACAGGAGATACATGAAATACGTAGCAAGGGCGGCTGGCCGCTGGTCCGGTAGCCTCAGCCGGCGCGCGCGCAACTCACCATGCTTTCCAGGCTGGCTAAGTGAGTGAGGGAGTGAATGAGGCGCGAGACAACGGGAAGCATATCAACTGTACACATTCGAAGTTGTGATTGATCACGTTTGTTTGGTGTGTGCAAGTTTGAAGTCAAACCCGAGGGATGTGATGAAACCTCCACTTCAGAGGCTCTACTAGAGGGGCGGGGAAAAAGCTGTATCAGATTCAGGTCATCCGTTTGGCGAGATATTGGCAATTTTATGACCATGTTCCAACAGATGTAGAAACGTAGAACATGAAAAGGGAGGGAAGGAAGGACGACACGGTGAAGGGGTGAGGAGGTGAACGCGCGACCTCTCGAAGCAGTTTTCCCCAGTTGGATTTTTTGGTGTGAGGCGGGCCTTCCATGAAAATATTATTTACGGATGAATAATATCTCATTGCGCACTTCGTACCTTCCATGAGTACCTACTTGTGGAATCTGTATCAGGTCCTCGCAAGTTTGGAGATTACTTCACCATCGCCACACCGCGATGGCCATCCGGTCCCAGCTAAAGAGCGACTAACAAAAATCCAGTCCAGTTCAGTCGCTGTAACAGTGATCATGCATTTTGCCGTCCAAATTCGGCGATCGCAGATGCTATTTTCCGTACTTCCACTGTGAAATCAACCTCGCCCATCCTTCCCACGCTGCTTTGACAACAGAGAGATCAATATCACCAACAACCAACCCCAGATGAGCCTCAAGGGCATCAAGATGGCGATAAACAGAAGTCCGTACACCATCATGTATAAAAGCCTTGAGGACTTTCAAGGCTCCCTAATTCCAAATCAACTCCCGTCCCTCTCAGAGAATCGGGGTTGGCTTCTGTCAAGCATGTCAAAGATCACCGTCGTTGTGATACTAGTCTAGCCAGCCAGCTACGCAACCGTCAATGCAGAAATCAAAGTTACTAAAGTGTAGATACCTGAACCAGTCAATACGTAGTTAGTCAACCAACGCCAACCACACTGCCTATCAACGAGGCACATGATCCACCACTACCACCCTTCACTCCGTCTTCCTCCACTTCTGTTCAACTATCCCTGCTGTGCTTGCTTAAGTTCTCATCAGTCGGCTTGTTGGTGTTGGTCCTAATCTCGTGTGAGTTACGAAACCACGCAATGTTGGAAATATTTGGCCCGACTATGTGATAATTCTGTTGACCTGTCATTTTTTCGCACCCGCTTGCTCTCGGTTTCCCGCAGATCCAAATAGGCACTAACAACACAAGTTGGAAGAAACGAAACCGAGTGGATGTGTGATGTGACGAGACGTCCATCGGGATACGCTCTATGCGGCTTCCCGGCAAGGCGAGCGAGATGCTGCTGCTGCCGCTGCTGCATGGTGGGAAGCAGCAAGGGGAATTTGGAAAGAAATTCAAAAGAATGTATGGACGGAATACGCAACGAGATGCCAAAGCATAGCACAGTATGGCATGGCACAGCAAATAGGTGCCTTATACCTAGTGGGCAAAGGCAGAACCAACAGACAACGACAACGCTGTTGGACTGTATGAAAGATTCAGTTTGGGTTGATGTGCGGAACAGGTCGCATAGAAAAAGTGGTTATGAATGCAGTTAAGCCGTCAATTAACGCTGTTCACCTGCCGCTGATGGCTTTTTTTGATTCACCTCATTGTAACATCTCTATGAAATTCCCCTATCGTACTTGGCGCACACTAAAGTATCAATGCTAAGCCGTGCCTCACAGCATGAGCCTCGCCATATACAAAATTAATATGTAAATGATATAGTATACCGACACACTACTCGTTGCCAGCTGCCCGTATGCCTCACAATCCGCCTACTACCTAAGCTCTAGCATGACCTGCCGTGCGCTGCGCATGCGCATGAGCGTGGCCATGTGAGAAGTGACTTGAGGCCGACGGACCTGCCGCCGTTGCCGCCACCGCCTGCCCGAAGAAGGGATGCTTGAGGGCCTCCAATGGCGTGATTCTCTTGTCCGGATTGAGCGCCAGGCAGCGTTCGAGGAGATCAATAAAGTGGTTGAGCTCCTTGGTTTCCGCATCACTCATGCCGCTGGAGGCGGCCACGAGACGGGCCCGCAAATCGCGGGTCGGCTTAACAGTGGCCAGGGTTTTGACAGTGGTCTGTACAAAAAGGAGCAGTAGGTTAGTTTGATTCCCAATTCGGGTAGGTATATTTGGCAAATATTGTTGGAAGAAGGAAGGAAGCGAAAGGGGAAATGTGGTTGCGGAGTGAAGGGATGGAGAGAGCGTGTTGAAGAAGCAAAGAGTAACAGGCGTCTCCCGCGTGCCGCCGTCACAGAAAACGACAACGGGAAGGACTGCATGCTCTCCAGTTGGGATAGGGGAAGAAACGCCACGATGCCCCGGGGGTATGCGGTTGCGGTGACATTGCCAAGCGGTCAATGTGCAGGCGAGGCACAGCACGACGCCCACTGGGGATGTCATCAAATCTTCTCTGTCTGTCCCTTCTCTCATGCACGTCGGAAGATTGCTAGGCAGACCAACCACGCGGGATGTCCACATCGGATCTAGGATGCAAGCCGCCTGGCCTCATAACCATGTCACATCAGATCCTCATCATGCCAGAAGACCGGACCAACAAGGGCGGGAGAGGATGAGGTGATACTCAGACGACACCGCAGATGGGAATGGGAGACATCATGCCGGGCCGCACACAAGCGCCGTCCCACTCAACCGGCCTCCCCGTCCAAAGCGCCTCCCTCTCCTCTCCATAAATAAATGAATAAATTTTTTCCTTTGTAAAAATGAAGGAAAGAGAAAAAAAAAAGGGGGGGAGGGGGGGTTGAAGGGAATCGGCTAGAAAGGCCAACCTGACGCCAGGGGCATCTCCAGTCAGACATCATCTTCCGTACACCCCTCCTCCATAAACAGAAGAAAACATGGTAAACTCGGAGGGTGACGATCGGGGAATATCTCATGGATTGATTGCAATGTGATTGCCTCGCACATGCAGAACGGAAGCGCTCGGGAAAATGAAAACAGACAAAAAGAATAGAAAACAACGTACCTTTCCAAGGACTTTGTCCCGCTCGACACTGAGGAAGTTGCCCATGTCGTCCCAGTGCATGCCCCATAATTCACCACGGCGGTACAATTTGGCGTTCAGTCTGCCACGAATCTCCATGATGGTCTTCAACATCTGGTTGTTGCTGTCGCCCGTAAATAGAATCTTGCCCGTGTACAGCTCATATAAGGTGCAACCAATGGACCACATGTCTACGGAGTAGTCATATGGTATGCCTAGGATGACTTCTGGCGCGCGGTAGAATCGACTGACGAGATACGGTGTCACCTCCGTCGAGGCCGTGGCCGCGTCAGACCGGTCGATCGCCGTACCCAGGTCACAAATCTTCAAAAGATTGCGTGCCTCATTTACCTACATCGGAAAAATTAGCATCGTGTCTCCATCACAGTGTGTTTGAGGAGACCTACCAAGATATTGTCAGGCTTCAGGTCAGCATGGATAATGCTGCACTTGCGCATATGGGCAAGAGCGAGGAAGATCTGGTAAGCGTAAACGCGTGTGGCACGCAAGTTGATGCCAACGTTGTTTCCGAACTTCTTCAGCACCTCGCGGAGGTTCATGCTCAAATTTTCGAAAACCATGCACAGATGACCCTTATACTCAAAGGATCGCTCAAACTTGACGATATGCTTCTTGTCCTCAGGATCAGCTTCATTCAGCTTCTGTAGGATGGCAATTTCAGTGAAACCGCCCTTCCGCAAAGCGTCGTTGTTACGCATGATCTTAATGGCAACTGTCTGCTGCGTCGTGAGGTCCAAAGCGCGGGCGACTCCCGAGAACATTCCACGACCAAGAGCCGTCGACAACTGGTATCGTCCGTCCAACAGCTCGCCGGGCCTAATCTTGTAGTAACCGTCTTTATCGTCACCTTCGAGCTTACCGCCGCCGACATTAGCCTGGCCATCGTTTCCAGCTTTCTTCGAAGCTGCAGGAGCCACAAGCTTCTCTTCGTCGAAATCGTCTGCGAACATGTCAAACTCATCGTCGTCGTCGTCTCCTCCTTTCTCAGGCTGCTTTTCCTCATCATTTTGCTCTTCTTTGGCAACATCTGCCAGAGCAGGATGTTTAGCTTCTCCATGCAAGCCAACATGTCCGTGACGCAGCTCGTCACGGCGCTCGTCTTCCTTCATATCAGCGGTAGGATCATAATCAGCGGCAGAGGGACCATCAACTTCCACTTTATCGTTTCCATTGGCTCTCGCAAGATCTTGCTCTGCCAGGAAGAAGTTGAACGCAGAAGGAGACATGGTGTCCGGCACCTGGGCGGGTGACTGGGTAGGCGACATGGTAACATTCCCTGAGGATAGTTAGCGGCTGGAGTGAACAGGTAAAAGAAGGACTATAGACTTACTCGACTTGGGACTGCTGGGCTCTGTCTTCTGGGGAGCGGGGGTATTGAAACGGCTCGACGAGGGGGTGGGCGATGGCTTATCACCTTGTAATGACTGGACACTGGGGCTTGCCGCACCCAGACCGCGCTGAAGAGCTGCCTGCCTGGCGCGTCTCCGCCGCTCGATCTCGGCCTGGACACGAGCTTCCTCGTCCAACGCCTCAGACGGGTCCCAGTCCATGTCGGGTTCGGGTTCTTTGGATGCCTCCTGTTGAGGTGGACTGTAAGGAATATTAGCAAGATATTCTCGACTCGTAGCGCATATAATGACCGAATAACCTACCCGTCCTGTGCGATAGCTAGTTCCTTGACACCTCGTTCAACCGGAACACCCTGACCAGATTTAGCATTTTCCTTGGTAGAATAAGCAGCCGCCGTGTGAGTATTTCCTTTAGACATTTCTTGCCCACGCCTGTCATCCTTGCCATCTTTGTAGGTTCCTTCTGGCTGAAACGTAACGACACGACCCCTGTTGTCACGCCGTCCTCTGTTATTGTTGTCGCGGCGACCGCCCCTTGGAGATCTGCTTCTGTTATTGCGAGGCCTCTTGGCGGAATATGAATCGTGGTCGCGCTCGCGGTCGTAATCCAGTAGCTCGCGGTCACGGCCACGGTCATCTACACGGTCGGCGGACGGACGAGTGGGCGGAGGGGCGTCCCTGGATGAGCCGTACCGGTTACGGGCCGAAGATGACCAGTCGTCATTATAATTCAGCGAGTCGCGCGAGGGCGGACGATCTAGGTCGCGGTACCGGCTACTTCCTCTATCATCGTCGTAGTGAACGCGGAAGTGTCGGGGATCGCGACGGTCCCGGTCTCGGTCTCGGTCATGACGATCATCATCGCGCGAACGCTTGAAGCCCCTGGGCGAACGCGGAGGGGGAGGCGAGCGTGGCGACCTGCTGTGACGACTGAAGGAGCCTTGGCGGGCGTGTCCGACTCTGGGTGACTGACGATGGTCAGGGAGCTTGGAGGGTTCGGGAGTGCGCTCGAGTCTAGCTCTTGGTCTGCCGGTCCGGTCAATATCACCGTTCAACTTAGAGTGAGGCAGGGGAGTTGCCTCTGCGATTTCCCCTTCATCCGAGCTAACATCGGGAAATGCCATTGTGTGCAAACCGACCGCTTGAATGTGAACGTCCGACTTAGAGAACTAACGCGAAAATAGCCCGTCTGGTTGTGCCAGCTTTGCCAAGGTTGAAAAACCAAGAGAACTGAACAAGGAAGTGGTTCCGCTGCTGGCTGTTTTGGGGGAATGGGCAGATGGGAGAGAGCGTCAGCTTCGTGATCGATAAGCAATGATTTCGTGAGACGGAGAGCAGAGCCCAACCAGTTTAGCTTTTCAACTTCGTCAGTTCTACCGCCGACAGTGGTAGCGTTGAAGATGGATTTAGCAATGTGTTGTACGAGAGTTGGTTGGAGTGGCCTGACTAAAGGCCAAGACGGTGCTGGATGGAGATTTTGGACCCCGGCATCAGGGCTGCAGCCTGGCAATGGACGATAGAGGTAATGACGGAACGATGCTGCACCGGAAGTCAGTCGCGCTTCAGGGGTTACACAGAGCCTTACCGCATGCTGCACTAACAGCAGATCCTATCCCCTGCAGTGCTTCACTGTTAGCGCCAAACGTGGCCGAAGTTCAGCCGTGCCACCGCCCAGTCGCAAGGGTGCCTTTGCTGTTCTAGCCTTTCTTATCGGCGGCCGCTTTCACCTGCTGATCGGTGGGGCACTTTGTCTTTCTCGCCTGAAGCCATTTCCCCAAATCGCCAATTCTTCTCTTTTTTTTGTTGTCGCAGAACTTGACGTCCCACCAACAACACCGTTTCTACTCTTTATACCAACCATAAACCGGCAAAATGGGTGGCGCTGACAGAGCTGGTATGCTTTCTCCCTAGTCGCTTATTCGTTGTCGCTCGCTGTGCTGTGCGACGGCGCTCACAATGGGGGATCAACGAAAATCTGGTGATAGCCTCATGCTGACCATATATCCTCTTTAGGTGGCAAGGCCAAGCCCCTCAAGGTGCGTTTCTCTATGCATCGATTTAATATGACGTGTTACGGACGAGAGCGACGACGACACTTGGTATCGCTGAGCCACGACTACGGGAGGGATTAATCACTGGCTGGCGGCCCTTTGCGGACATTCACCACAGCAGTCGCGAAAGCCGTCCCCATGGCGTTCAACCCTCCCTAGTAGTCGCGGCCTAGCTTGGCGGAAACACCACAAAACTCGATAACGCAGAATCCAAGACTGACTCTGGTTCGCGAACAGGCTCCCAAGAAGGACAAGAAGGACCTCGACGAGGATGACAAGGCTTTCCTCGAGAAAAAGAGAGCCGGTACGCATCTCCCTCCCCTACATCACGGACTTGCATTACACCGTCTACACGACCATAAAAGCCCCAAAACCGATGAACAAATAAACAAAGAAACACACGAAACTAACATTTCACCCCCCGACAACAGAGGAGAAGGCCCGCAAGGATCTCGCCGCCAAGGCCGGCGGTAAGGGTCCCCTCAACACCGGTGCCCAGGGCATCAAGAAGTCCGGCAAGAAGTAAATAAAATCCATCTTTCGTATTATACTACGAACCGAACCGGCTACACAATCGGAACGGGCGGATAAGATGCATGGATGGACGGACATGGAGGAGCATAAAGGAAAGTGCAGCAGTGTCGCACAACGGCGTTTTCACAGAGCAAAAGGTTTACTGGATATTTTATGCGTGCATTCCAGAACGCAGTCTTCCGTTGATTGATGAATTAAAGCATGTAGCGAGGAGCTTCAAAAGATGGGATACCACCAAATGGGAATATACATGAATATCACGTACAGTTTTGGACATGTCCACGCAGTTGATCAATAAGATGTTGGCGGTGTTGAGCGTTCACACTGAGAGGAACGACATGGTTTTGTTTTTCCCGCTCGATCCGGCCTTGATCCATCCTCTTTTCAGTTACATAGAGGAACACTCAATGCCCATTCATGAACTACTATACAATCGGTACGCTATAAATAACGTGGCTGGAAAGACATACTGTATATATAGACGTCCTTTTAACGTCTCCCTGGGCCTGCTGCTCGTGTCTCCATGTGAAACAAGGACTTCATGATACAAGCACCAGCCCATTTGTGCCTTTGCCATCCAAAACCCAAACAACCCTTCTAGGGCCTTTCCAGATTCTGATTCTCGTAATCTATCATTTCACACACACCCGTATAAAAACGCCGAAACAATGCTTGGTAAGAGACCCAGAGTGTCCATAAATGCAACTTGCCCGTCCCGTGTCTCTGTTAGTTCTCCCCGTCTCCAGGAGCTGAGGATGCCAGCCGTTCATGCTCCGACTCGGCAGTCGTCTTCCGCATCCAAAACTTGAGGATTTCCCTCTTCTTTCCCTTGTTCAACGTAGACGACTCGAAAACTTCGTTGACCGTCCTTCTCGGCTTTCCTCTTCCAGGGATACAGATCTTCTAATTCCCGCCCCATACACTATTCCCACTCACGTTTCCATTCGCACCTCTACCTGGCGCGCCAGGCGGAGGTCCCTGCCTCCTATTACCCCTAAAATAGTCATACTGCATCGGGTCGTTCTGGCCCTGGTTGGGCTGGAAATGAGGGCTTTGAATTGCATTAGGTGGCGTCTGCATCATGTCGTCGTCCGTTTGTGGCACGTTGCCATAACCATATCGAGAAGCACCCAGCACGCCTGGCGCGCGTGGGTTGGGGATACTAAACCCGCCCAGTGCACCGCGAGACCTGGTGCTATCGAAACTCCTTTCCCGATGCAGGCCATCGTCTGGGACATCGAAACTTGCTGGTGTTGAAGTCGGCATGCCTGCCGCGTTATAAACGAGGTTGCTCGAGCTGTCGTTGCCGTTGTCACCCATGTGATACAGGGGGCTCCGGCCTCGACCGGGCGCTTCGCCGGGACCTAGAATGGGTGGCGAATAGGGCGCCTGGTTATTGGACGAGTATTGTTGCGATGGAGACATGTATCCCCCAACATAAGCAGTGTTGCCCATATCAGACTGGTTCGAAAAGAATCTGCGGTTGTGGCTGAAGCCCATTCCTCCTACTGGTGTACCTGGTCGAGAATTGTTGTCGGATCCCGTAGCCATGGTTCCTGGTGTGTCTGGCCGGACGATATCAGATGCGCGTCCGAACAACTCGCCAGCACCATGGTCAGCAGCAAATTCGTCGCGATTCTTGTAGAATTCAAAGTCCAGTCGGGACTCCGGGACGACCTCGAACCCGGGCACAGCAGACGACAGTTTCCCAATCTTTCCAGAAGCCATACTGTCCAGGGCGTATGTGTCGCTATACCCGCTCACAGACATTGAGTCGCCAAGGCCTGCATCACGGCCGTCGGATAGCCGACCTTGGTAAACGCTTGCCAGTATATTCTGAGCTTTGGCGTGTACCATGGGGGTAATCAGCGGCTTGTATAGGGCAGGGTGGCCGAAGCGCGAGGCAAGACGATCGTTTCTAGGGCCTTGTTCTTTTAGGCCGAAACCTTCCTCAGCATTGCGGTGCTTGATGATGCGTGTCGAATAGTAGGTGATCTTATTATCGTATATCCATGAGCAGACAAACTTGAAGATGATGATCAGAATTGGCAGCGGGACGACGGCGTACGCTTGGGTTTTGTACCCAAAGCCTCTTACCCACACTACAAGGAATACGATCAGGTGAGATAGCATCAGTCCAAAGAGGATGCGGTTGAATAAGATGCGCCAAAACATTCCTCCGCTCTCCGTCTTCGTGACAAAGACGTACATCAGCAAATACTTTTTGAGCGCAACGTCAATGGCGAAGTACATCCCGGCCGCCGGGAGAACAAGCGGCATGATGGGAGCGTAACAAAGGGCGGCGGTGGCGTAGAAAAGGAAATAATTGTAGTAGCTAGCGTAATCGAAAGGCGGCGGTGCCGTGAGCTCGATCAGCTCCCTGGGAGTCGGATTCGTGAACTTTCGCATGATGGAGCCGTAAATCAGCTTCCAAAGCTGCGACAGATCGATGGCAGCACCTAGTTGACGCTGAATGAGCCAAACAACCCAAAAGGGCGAAATCCCGCAAAGCGAGACGAAGACGGTGGTCCCAAAGTCCGCATCAAGGATAGCTTGCCACGCGTCATCATCCGTGGCAGTGTTCTTGATCACCGTGGCCCCGAAAGACCAAAGAGCGCTGAACAGAGAGAACACAAAGAGATTGTTGAAGACGAAGAAGGAGTATAGTTTGGCGACAACGTGGCGTTCTCGACCGGTCTTGGTCATGTCGCCGGCCTTCATAGATAGCCGCCGGAAAATGATGGGGAGAACCATATAAACCAAGGAAGTCAGGGCTGGAGAAGCAATACCCTGTACAATGGCCCAAAAGTTTCTGTTCGTTTCTAGAGACTTTTGAAAGTCAGGCCAAACGCGTGCGAGATTGCTCAGGTTGACCAAGAAGATGGCGATCATGGCGTTGGGAGCAACCCATACTACGGTGAGAACAGTGATCCATAAATTGTTCCACAGTCTCCTCGTGGCACGAGAGGCTGAGCTGAGTGGCATGTTTTCCCAGACGATGTCGTTAGGCTTGGGAGCTAGAGTAACCCTTGCGCCTTGTGGTTTTTTGCTTCGGCAGAGATAGGCAATCGCATGCGCTTCGCTTATATCAGAATAAGACGCAAAGCCGTACGGCATGGAACCTCTCTTGTCTATCCGTTGGCGAACCTCCTTGATCTCGAGCTCCAGCAACTTGATTCGTTGCGTGAGATAGTCGATAGCATCCAGTTTCTTGTCCTTCGGATAGGTTGAGAATGAAGGGTCTTTCTTGGAGGGCCGGCATACTGGCCTAGTAACGGGGAGGTTCTTGGGGTCCTTGAGGTACTTGGCTAGCACCTGTTCCAGCTTCCGGACGGTCTTTTCGTGCTCCTCGATCAAGGTGGGCAGAATTTTGACGTCGCGTGCGACAGCAGTCCTCGAGAAGGATGAACTCGGTGCTACGCTATCAATGATTCGAGCGATACCTTCATCCGAAGTCAAATTTTTGGGGATATCGTACAGCTGGTAGTCGTTTGGTTAGGACAAAGAAACAATGCGATGGGGGACGGGTGTAACATACCATGAGCGTACGGGCGTGGAGGCTCTGCTGGTACTCCTCGCTCCTGAGGTATTGGATCCTCAACTCACAAACCTTTCTATAGTTCCACCAGAGAAAGAAGCACACAATCAGGGTAGTTACCCAGGACATGACAACTGTGGCCCACTGCCACTGGTTCCACACGTTCATGGGCGTAACTTTTTGCAGCCAAGGCGACTCGGGTGCAGCGTTCTTATACCAGTTTATGGGAATTTGAATGCAACAACACAGGACGGCTAGGCACAAAAAGATGTTGCGACACATCCTGGTGAAGCGCATGAAGATGGTGGCGTCCATGCCGACCAGCCTCACCAAATCCTGCTCCGTGGTCGTCCACAGCGGCTTCATCCAGGAGAAGAAGCCCTTCCCGAGCAGGGGCGGGGCGTGCTTGTCGTCGGCATGTTTGAGTTTGGGTGCATATACGACAGTGTTGAGTGGCCTAACCAGGGAGAAGCCCAAGGCGACGGCTACGGTGATGCTCACGGAAGAACCAAGGGCAGCGTAGATGGAGTTGGAAGAGAGCTGGGAGCGTAATTACATCAGCAATCTGTAGGGACGAGTATGACGTGAAGACGTAGGTTTTTTCTTCTTCTGTCTTTTTATGGATAGATGCACGACACCTACCTGGGCGGCAAAGGGATCCTGTAAAAGTTGGAGGAATTCACTGATGGTATCACGGCTTTGGAGCACGTTGGCTTTCGTGCCCAGCATATCCACCATGTTGTTTCCCAGTAACGAGCCCAACCAGGGCGGTCAAAGCAGAAGTTGTGATCAGAGCGACAGCGATCGAGGGGAGAGGTGGGTTATGGTTCGTCGGTATTTGCGTGTTAGCGCAGGCCCGTGAGTCGTCTGGTCGGCAAAGCTCGAGTTGGGATGAACTGGTCTTCCGTCCCACTGCTTTCCGTTGGTTCGGCGAATTCGAAAGACACCGGTATCGCCAAAGAAACGATGTTTGCTGTATGTAGGCGTTTGGTCGTATCGCAGAAGGTGTTGAATGCCGGTTGAAGGGGAACGTGACCGGCCCTGTTTCAAAGGCGTGTCTCGCGCAACCACAAACAAAGAGATCAGGACTCTCTTTGGCGCCGACGATCAAAGGGAATAGTTTTGTTGTATGCTGTGCGCATAACAATTGGAACTGAACGATCGTCGTCGTGTGTAACTCGTGCCGGGGCACTCGGACTGAATAGGGTCAATAGGGAAAATGAGCACCACGATCTGGAACGAATGTGACGTATGGTGAATGCCAAGTCCAAGGGCTAACAAATTGGTTCAGAAAAATGCGTGGCCGACCGGGACCCTGCCGCCAGTGCTGAATAGGAGGAGGGAGAGCCCAGTCAGTAAGCGAGAGGGGCGACAAGAGTCGGTATTAGTGAGGGTATTCTAGTAGGGTGCGCAAAGAGGGTAGCAAGGTCCTGAGGGTTCAGTTGTTGCTATGATCGAGGGTTTGGTACAGTGGGGAAAAAACGAAGGTGGTGGTGGTGGTGGTGGTGGATGGATGGGATGGAGGAGTTGGTCAACCATGTCGATTGATCGATGGGGATAGGTGATGATATCAACTCGGCCACTTTTCTGGTGCACGCGTGTCGGAAGATCGTCAAGAGGATGATGGACAGCGACAGACAAAGTACAGGCAAGCATCAGGCAAGTGATAGCCAAACAATTGGGGATGGACGGGTTCTGGAAGGAGGGATGGACGGGCCAATGGCTGCTTTTGCCCGTCTTTTGTGCATC